ATTTTATCTCGATTTAACGGATTTAACGGATTTTCATATATATTCGATTTAGCGGATATTTTTTAAAAATCCATATACAGTCTACTCTCTCTATAACGACCAAAAGCAGAGAAATTACATATAGGGACAGAGGGTTCGTTATAGAGAGAGTGAACTGTATCAATTTAATAAAACAATAACTCTATTCATTACATCCTCATTAATTCTTCTATGAGATTTATTATTTTTTACTGCATATTCTGTAGCTTTCCCAGATAATCCATGCCTGTAAGCACCCATCCATCGCCAAGATAACCTAGCATATGCTCTAACTTGTTCAACAGAAACAGAATCAAATGCTAATGGTAAATTAGTTTTTAATGAACTTAAAGTATACTCACAATTTTCACGGGTAAACTTTTTTGCTGCACCCCAAAACATTTCAATATGATTAAATTCTGGGTGGAATTTTGGATAAAAAATAATCTGTTCATTGTAGAACTTCTTTTAGTCAATCTAAAATTAAAAAAACCAAAGTTCAGAAGCTTTTGAATGACGAGCTTCGTTAGCTTTTTGTAAGTTTGAAAGAAGTGATTTCATTTTTTTTGTGTATTTTGGCATTTTGAACAGCGATAAATTTTGAAATTATATATATTTTTTACAAAATAGTGAAATTTTAAACCCTTGTAACTTTTGCTAGTAAGTCTAAAAAAAATAATCCGGCTGCAACGAATTATTCTCTGACTTCTAAATAATCGTTGTTGCAATTATTTTTTTGAAATTGGATACAATTTTTCCTTATATAGAACGATACATTTCTCATTTGTTATACTCTTTTCTCAATAAGGTAAATTATTTTATTTTTCAGGTTTTTTATTTTTTATTTGATTGATTATTATTGTTGTGATTAAAATTTTATTTATTATGTTATGAATTTTCGTGATACAAATGGTATAATTCATATTTATGGATTAACACAAGATTTTATATAAAAATCCAATTTCTTGCCTTTGATTAAAAATATTTTTTCTCCATTTCAACTTTACTCTTTGCTAAGTAAATATTCCTTCATATTTTCTCTTTCCCAAATAAATTATTTCCTTTCCTATTTCATCTTTTCTCTTTCCTGTTTTGATTAAAAGTTAATTTTTTCAGTTATTGCCTTAATACACGTGTTTGTTAATAAATCAATAAAAATACAATGAATGATCAAAATAATCAACGTGAAGTTCCCTTCAACGAACAACCGGATACACCTAGTATTCCTAATGAAGCTTACTCTGGTAATGATAATTTTCGCTCAAGTATTCCGATAAATATCATCTACAACACACCTCACCAGAATACAAATGGTGATAATTTGAACAACAATTTGCTTTTTATAGCTGTTCAGCTTCTAACAACAGCGACGGCAACAGCAGCAACAGTTTCAAAAGAGGCAGCGATAGCATTACTAATAATTAACTTAGTAGCTGTTTGCTTCTTAATTATAATAAAAAGAAAGCTATCAGGTTACCATAATTTATTTTCTTAATTTAAGTAATTTATTTAATTCGCTTTTCTTTTTTCTGGTGGTTAAAATTTAAAAACGGGGGAAAAACTTTTAAAAAAGAGCTTTATCTTTAATGAATATCAAAAACTCGGATCGTTAGAATTAAAATATTTAATATAATTTTTAATAAAGTTTTTTTATTTTGCAACAAATCTCATAAAAAATATGCACTCACCAGCTTAGATACATTCAAAAATATAATTTTCTTTTTTTTTAAATAATTAATAAAATTATTATTAATTCGTGCTTTTAAATGGTGTTATTTGTATTTGGGTAATCTAGGGTCAGCTGATATTAAATGTCATCAAATGAACTGACGTCACCAAATCCATAGAACTTTTGATTGTTCAATATTTGCCATTTATCTATTTCTCATTCAATTGCAAAGACCATCAATTGTTTACTTTGCACCAACGATGCTTTACAAACTGATAATTGTCCATTGTTAAACTAGGGAAATCTTTGAAAATATAATTTGTTACTGTAAACAGAATAATAAAAAATTCATTAAGTTCTAATGATGCATAAATGATGTTACAGAAAAGTTACAAGTGACCGACTTTTAATATAAATATGTGGAACAAATAAGAAAAACTTGGCCAAAGCTTTCAAATCAGATTATCTAACCAGAATATCGAACCAGGATAGACAATTATCGAAAAGGAGTTTGCCGAATGGCTAAGCAGTTACATTGGTCAAGCATATACCAAATGTTAAACGGCACGCCCTTATTCTTTATTGCTTGAACTAGTTCAAAAGTATCTCTTATATACAGAAAATCAAAAGCTTTTTGGGTGATAAAATTAAATTTATTGTTGTGGATGTTGGGAAAAGAAGGTTTAACCCATCATCAGTGTTTGATACAATTGTTTATAAATATACTAATAATTGTTGTATAGGAATTGCTCCAGGAATTACTTTTACGAGGGAGTAGAATATGAAGAAATGAAGCTAATAAATGAAATGAAACTTGGATATAAAAGATCAATTGGAACAATTGTTTTTATAAAAATATAATCAATGATCTTGAATTTCCAGTTGAAGAAAAGGTTGCAAATGATGATAGTGAGGAATAACCTGAAACAATAACATATACAACATCAAACACACTAATCATATTTTTCATTGATTTACGAGTTAAAAGCCAGAATATAATTACCATCGACTAGTGAGTTTGCTATGTACTTTATTAATAAATGGCCGTATGTTTACTGACGAATTAAAAGCATAGAAATTGGGTGCGATAACATAATATCTAGTAATTTGCTAGACAAAAATTTATTCCAGCTGGCAAATTTTAAAACTCAAAATTCGCTTTTTGAATTAACAAATTAATTATAATGGTTTGTGGTGTGGTTAAGGAATAAAATTTTAATATTGCTTCGACTATTATATATTGCATATTATGATGTTTTCTTTAAAGCTCGTTCTACCATTTTAAAAGCAGGGTTTTTGTACTTGAAAAACCTTGATGACGGTAGTATATTTGAAGTTGAATGATTTATTTATAAAATTATCAAAAGGAAAATATATTGCGCGGGCCATGATTTAGATGTTGTAAAAGGATCTAATACTGCTGGATTAAATAAAACCCAATGTTATCAAGGTGGAAAAGGTTTTCAATATTTTGATGTCAAATCTAGTTTGAAAGTTAATTTTAAGAAATTTATGGTCAATTATCTAATATTTTAGTTTTCCTCGAATATCAATCAATACGAGCACCAACAAACATGCTAAAAGAAGACTTGCAAATAGTAATTGGGATAATTATAGAAGTGAGTGTGTTAAAAAATATTATTTTGAATTAATCATTTAAATATTTGGATACTAAACTTTGACTTCCTTGTATTTGCTTAGTTTAAGGTATATTGCAAATATTATTTAATATAAATTATTAATTTTTTTTACATTACCATTATTTTCTGCACAAACAAACATCCTCTTTAGAAGGGAATAGACGAAATGTAAAGCTGAATATTTTATTCCAAAGAATTAAGAATAACATTATAACTCTGATTATACCGCTGCAAGCGTGCGATCCGCCACACTTTATGCACAGAATTAACCGAAGGTTTATATATAATTAATCTTTTTTTTCTCTTGAAATAATGATTTCAAAACCTTTCCTCAAATTATCAATGAAATTTGCATTCATTGTAATTCAGATAAAGTTAGTTTGGATAAAAATAACAATAATAATACATACACATTTATTTGTTTTTAGTTACATGTAATTTGATTAAATCTCAACATATATTTTTTAGGCGAAAATTATCCACTGTGGCCTTGTGGAATCATGTTTTTAAATTCGAAGAACCAATAGATTGGTCACAAAGTGGATGGACTTTTTATTTTTCCGAGTCTAAAAAATATGACAATTATACATCAGGAAATTTTTAGAGGCGTCAAATAGCACGTTGAACAACATTCCTGATTTTTAACATCAAAAAAAATGTTAAACAACAGACCCTGTGCAAACAAACGGTATTGAAAATCCTTGTATGATGCAATAATATATTTACAGTATATGTCAATAATTAATAACTTTATTAACACGAAAAGTGATTTAATTTACATTTTATTAAATATTTTCTTAAAACATGTGTTATTAAGGTAGAGGTTGGAATCGTCCAAAAAATCCTTAGTCGACTACTACAGTAGTTGGTCAAAATTTCTTTCGCAAAATGGTCACACACTAGTCACGGGAATAACATCCTATTTAATTAGAAATATTCATTCGGTTTCATTATTATTAACGTTTTTTTTTAATTTGCAGATTACAAATTCATCTCCATTTGAATCTTTAATTTTCTCGAA